TTTCTATCTTGTTTTTGCAGGTTGTGAAGTAAGCAATTTTGCGAACTTCAGTTGCCTAGCTCGATTATCTTTCTTTGAAAAGCTTTAAAAAGATGGATGTAAGGTGAAATAAAAATAATTTGATTTGAATGTACTTGTTACGCAGATTAGAGTATAAATACTTTGCTCTGTTTACCTGAGCTGGTTCAAGCTTTATCGAAATTCTGCAAACAATTCAGAGTTGCGTTGATCGTTCTGCACCTACCCTTATGTGTAGCCATGAAGAGAAGCTGCATCATGGAATCGAGATTTTTAGGCACCAGACATATGCGGCTCGTAGTCGCTTCTGGTAGAATCACATCTCACAATCTGCATTCTCTGTTATTGTTCTCTAGTTCTGGTTGTAATTTTCAGTTCATCAATGGAAAAATTTAACCGAAACGGTTAAGCAAAAAAAAAAAAAACACTATTTAGTCAGAGGATCTATATTTTATACTTATAGCACGCTAGTGGGAATTGGAAAATACAATTTGTATAGCTATGATCAAAACTCGAAAGAATCAGAGGATCATATACTAGTGAGAATTACAAAACACAACGTGCACATATAAAAACAAGACGTTGACAACATATGCATCACAAAAACTTATTAGCGAGACCGCAAGAGATGGGCTTAACGAGCTCTTGTAGTGACTCTGACTTTTCTCCGACCAAACTTTTCTGTGAACCACTCTTGATAGTGTGAAGTGAAGAAATGTCCGATCACCAAACCGCAGAAAACACCTGGTCCACAGGCTACTGCAGCTGCTACCCAGTTGAACATTTGTTCCTCCGACTCTGACAATTCCTCATGTTGTTGTGATGTTGTAGGATTCAGAACATGGGTTTCTCCACATATATCTTCGAGACCAAAAAGTCCATGGTTGTCCAAGAACGAAGAACATTTCTGCCTTTGAAACTGTGTGCCTCTTGGCACTGGACCTTGGAGAAGGTTATGGGAGAAGTTCATGTATGACATAAATGTGAGCTTATCAAGATCTTGAGGGATTTGACCAGACAACTTATTACGCGAGAGGTCTAATGTCTCGAGCTTTGTCAAATTTGCCAAGAAGCGTGGGATATCGCTTGTGAATGCGTTATCTGACAAGTTGAGAAGACGCAATTCCTTCAAGGAGCCGATGGATTCAGGGATTTTGCCATAGATTCTATTTCCAGAAAAATCAATGGCTCTGAAGTCTTGTCGGATACGCTCAAAGCTCATCTCTACTCCTTTATTCACCATTCCCATCGAATTACGATAGAAAATGAAATCATTCACGATATCTGCCATGTACCGATCATCTTCTTCGGTTAATGTGGTCATTCCATGCCAGTTGGAAAAATAATGAGGAGGGAGAGTTCCAGTGAAGTCATTGTGTGATATATCAATGACTCTTAAACTCTGAAACCCAATGGACTTGTGGCGATGATACAGCGGCCCATAGAATTCGTTTGACCGGAGGCTGAGAACATGTAACGATGGCAGAGATCCCAACCATGATGGAAACTTGTCCTTGATTCGGTTGCTTTCCACATTCACAAGTTGCAGTAATTTGCAATTGATCAATGACTTTGGAAACTTTCCCTCCAGCTTGTTACGACTAACATCGAATGATCGTAACTCGGTAGCATTGGCAAATATATCTGGAAGAACTCCATTGAAACTGTTGTTACGCAGAATCAACTCTGTAAGAGAATCAGTGAGATTCCTTAAACATGGAGGAATCGAGCCGTTGAAAAGATTGTTGGACAAATCTAAGAAGCTTAACCCTTTAAGCTTGCAGATCCAATGGGGAAATGGTCCCCCAAATGAATTTGAATTCAGATCCAACGCTTGGATCAATGATTCTTGAGAAGATTTTTCAAAACTGCTGAAAGAATTGTGAGAAAGTGTCATCGTCGTCAATCTCCATAAGAAACCTGGTATTTTGCCTTCCAACATGTTGTTGGAAAGATCAAGATAATCGAGGTTGACTAACTTTGATATAGACCTAGGGATTGGCCCAGTGACATTGTTGTGGCTAAGATGTAACTCTCTTAGGTTGAGAAATTTAGATATGGATTTCGGGACTGGGCCATCGAAGTTGTTATGAGCAAGGTATAGAATCTCTAGCTTAGGCGATGATAAAGATGTATTCTCAAACTCTATAGATCCCGTGAATTGGTTTTCTTCCAAATAAACCGTTTGTAACGAAGGAATCGTGAACAAGGATTTAGGGAAAGACCCCAGAAATGAGTTTCCACCAACATCAAAATGTTCCAATTTGTGGAATCCACTCATGTAAGATGGAAGCATGGATGTGAAGTTATTAGAGCGGAGGCTAAAATGATTAAGCTTGGTTAAATTGGCAAATGAAATAGGAAGATTGCCACTTAAGCTGTTTTGGCCAAGTGACATGGCTCTTAGTTCTTTAAGGTTTCCGATGGAAGCCGGAACTTCACCTACCAAATGATTAGCCGAAAGTCTAAGATATAAGAGACTGGAAAGGTTTCCTAGTGAATCAGGAATATTTCCTGTGAGCTCATTAGCCGCAAGGATAAGGTCTCTTAGCTCGTCTAAAATACCAACTGAAGCTGGAATTTTTCCTATGAGAGTGTTAGCCCCAAGGTTAAGGTATCTTAGCCGCTTTAGATTGCCTATTGAAGCAGGAATCTCACCTATCAATTGATTAGAAGCAAGGTCAAGAAGGGTGAGACGAGAAAGGTTTCCTAGTGAAGAAGGAATCTCTCCTTGGAGATTGCAACCGTTAAGGTTTAGGTGACGAAGATATGAGAGTCTAAAAAGGCTACTATTAGTTTTCAAAGAGCTGTTGAGCGAGGTGTAACTAAGGTCTAGTGATATCACCTGGCCAGATTTATCATCGCACTTGACACCCTCCCAAAGACAGCAATCACTGCTCTTATTCCATGGGCTTGGATTAGACGCATCGATCAAAAACTCGCCTCTGAATTTCAAAAGAGCATCCTTCTGGTCGTGGCGGCAAAATTTTTGCGTAGGAGAAGCAAGAGTGTGGAATAGGAGGGAGAAATAGATGGTCATAATAACAGAAAAGCAATAACAATGGCTTTGAGTGATCATATCTTTTACCTTTTTGAGTTTATTTTGTAACTTGCAAGTAATGGGTTATGTTGTATGCTTCATTGGCTCTCTTTAAGAAGAAGAATCTCCTTAGTGAATAGGGCTGTGATACCAAGTCTTGCGTCAACTCATTGAATTCGGTTGGTTTTGCTCTCCCTCAGTCTTAAATGAATTGTGTCACTTGTCTCAGAATACAAGTGGACTCATTCAATCCTCACCAAAATATCTCTTAAAGTTCTGTACTAAATGTTTTCAAAATACAACTACTATCGGTCGCATAGATAATCATACTAACAACAACAAAAATGCATTGTTAACTACATTATTAAATGATATTTGTTTCGTTGATCTGCGACATAAACCGTTTGTTTGGATTAAAAAATGTATACCTTAAAATTTAGGGAGAAATACTAAAATAGTATTGATAAATGGTTTTTTGATAATTTTGGTGTTTTTGTTTCATAATTACTCAAACACTCTTCAAAAAAATTTAAACCCGGTTTTGCCCATATTTCCTTTGATAATAAAAAACGTATTTACGAAACTGTCATTAATGAATTTCCCGCCAGAAGTAAATAAGTCTACCGCTCACGTGATGGTAGATTTATTTAGTGGTTGGTAGATTTTTTTTGAATGGTAGATTTATTTCGGTAGACTTATTTTTATGCAGTGGTAGATTTATTTCTATGTGACGGTAGATTAATTACTCGTGGTAGATTTAATTTTCTTCATAGTAGATTTAATTCAGATATAAATAAGTCTACCATCACGACGATCAATAAATCTATACGCGTCGTGATGGTAGACTTATTTATAGTGGCGGTAGATTTATATGATGTGGTAGACTTATTAGTCGAATGGTAGATTTATCTCGGTAGACTTATTGTAGAGTGGTAGATTTATTTCTATATGATGGTAGATTAATTACTCGTGGTAGATTTAATTGCCTTCATGGTAGATTTAGTTCGGATATAAATAAGTCTACCATCACGACGATCTGTATATAAATAAGTCTACCATCACGACGATCAGATCGTCGTGATGGTAGACTTATTTGTAATGGCGGTAGATTTATATGATGTGGTAGACTTATTACTCTCCTTGGTAGATTTATATTTGTTGATCGGTAGACTTATTGATTGTTATCGATGGTAGACTTATTTATAGTGGCTGTAGATTTATATTATGTAGTAGACTTATTAGTTTCCTTGGTAGATTTATATTTGTTGATCGGTAGACTTATTGATTGTTAGCGATGGTAAACTTATTTATAGTGGCGGTAGATTAATATTATGTAGTAGACTTGTTACTTTCCTTGGTAGATTTATTCAATGTTTGCAGGTCTTTACTACAACAAATCTACCAATCTTTGGTAAATCTACCATAATGATGGTAGACTTGTTTTTTAATATTGAATGACGATAGACTTGTTTAGATTCGGATAAGCGTACTGGTAGATTTAAAAAATAAGCGGCATGGTAGACTTGTTGTGGTAGGTGTTAAATTTACTTGTAGTAGTGGTAGATTTACAATATGTGGTAGACTTATTTGTAGTAGTGGTAGATTTATAATATGTGGTAAACTTATTTTATAGTAGTGGTWRACTTATTCAAAAAGGGTAAAATCGTAATTTACCGTTCATCTTCTCCACCAATCCAAAAGCTGTCAAACGACAACAATGGCAGCCAACAACTTTTTAGCTCATTTTTACTGTATTTTAACTTGTTTTCAACTGGGTTTAGCCTAAAACTAGTAGATTTAACATCATATATCATTTTTCTAATCAAAAATCAAAATATTTTGAGTTTTTTTTTTCACCTTATGATTTTTAATCTGATTTTATCTCAATTCCGGTGCTTCTTCAGCCTCCACACCTCTGCCGCTTGCGCCTCTGATGCTTCCGCAACTTCCGCGGCCGCTTCAAACAAATTCTTCATATATTTTTTTTTAAGTTAAAATAGTATTTTTATAATAACAAAACATAACTTTAGTTTATATGTATTTTAAACCCTTTTTTAATATTTTGATATTTTGTCAAAAATTATTCTAATAATTAGTCCATTTCTAGTCTAATTAATCCTAAAATTGATTGTCCTGCTTTTCAGCACAAGAGAAACAAAATGATCAACATAAGATTTCTTTGAGACATTTAAACAAACAGTTTGTATACAAGTTAAACTATTCAAAAGAAAGTAAGAAAATGTGCCATCAAGATTCAAATAAACAAAAAATCACAAACTTTTCGACTTTGAATTCTTCATCAAACCATCGATTTGAACCATAAAGCTTAAGCTAATTTCTATTCCGAAACGAAATATATAATCGTTCTGTTCAGATCTCTAAACTGTGACAGATCAAAAGATAACAACTCTACCTTTTAATTCCCCAGAAGAAGCCATATAAGGGGACAACTCCGGCAACAGACACTGGATTTCCGCATCGATGTGTCGGAGACGATGATCGTCCTCGTGAGGTTGGTTTCCAAATTGATAGCCTGTGAAGGCCCATTACTACGAACGGCCCATATGCTCATTTGTTAATTTTTAAATTTATGATAGCCAGTGATATGATTGACGTGTTGGAGGAGCAACAGTCAAACACAAGCGATATCAAATACAAAAACCATTAAAATGTTGTGTTTTCTTATGACTTACTTCAATCCAATCAGAGGTAGATCTCCCTAAACTGTTTTTAGTCAGAACAAATGGTGTTTCTTGTTAGATATTTCATTAGGTTAATTATTTCTCAACTTGTAGAAAAATTGAAAGTAAATACGTGTTTCTTTTAGAGTCACCACAACTGGTAATACTTTTCACTGGGCTATGATATATCAAATACTACCACCAAAGACGTTTATTACAGAAAACCATTAAAATTGTT